TATCTATCTATCTATCTATCTATCTATCTATCTATCTATCTATCTATCTATCTCTTTATCTCTGTAGGGAATTTTTGGACCAGAACTAGAAAATGCTGTCATGAGCCTTTTTTGTGAGTGTGAGTCATCTTTGTGCTGTCTTGGAAAAAAGGAGGAGGCTCATCAAAATAGCTCTGCTGCTTAGCATAAATTTGCTCCAAGAAATGTTTTTTATTTTTTATTATTATTATTTTCCCGAGCTGCTAAATTGGAATGTTGACAGCTTTATGGAAGAGAATAATTTGCATCGACAGCATACTTTGTGCTCAGAACTTGACAAGTAGGTGGCTTAAAATGTCCTGGATGAACGTAAAGGAGAGTTTGGAGGCCGATTATTTCCCTGGTACAGGTAGTCCTCGACTTACAATAGTTCATTTAGTGACTGTTCAAACTTACAACAGTACTGAGAACAGTGACTTATAAGCACTTTTCACAGTTATGACCTTTGCGGCATCCTCATGATCCTGCAATCAAAATTCAAATGCTGGGCAACTGACTCAAATTTATGACGGTTGCAGTGTCCCGGGGTGACCACGATCCCCTTTTGCGACCTTCTGACAAGCCAAGTCAACGGGGAAAGCCATTCACTTAACGACCGGGTGTCCTATCTTTATCGACGGCTATGATTCACTTAACAAATGAAGCAAGAAAGGTCGTAAACTGGAGCAAAACTTAACCAATGTATCCCTTAACGGCAGGCATTTTGGGCAGAGTTGTGGTCCTAAGTTGAGGACAACCTGCCTCTAATCCTGGCTTGGTTTGTGTTTAAATCAGGGGTCCCCAAACTTGGCAACTTTAAGACTTGTGGACTTCAACTCCCAGAATTCTCCAGCCACCCAACAAAACACTGGCAACAATAATAGTAATAATAGTAATAATAATATCTATGCAACAAACTTTTGCAAACCGCAGTAGCACTACAATTAAGGGAAAATAACTCACCTTGGAAGTAGATAACTGTAAATTTAAGGAATGATAGTGCTGTTTTAAATATGCACATTCCTTATTTATGGTCCAATAAAAAAACATAGCTGCCTGGAGAATTCTGGGAGTTGAAATCCACAAGTCTTAAAGTTGGCAAGTTTGGAGACCTCTGGTTTAAATATTGCGGTAAGTGTGCCTTTGTAAAGGAAGAAAGAATAAGTTTGATATGCAAAATTGGAAGTCTACCACGATCTGCTCTCTGCTTATTAGATTTTTGGTGAGCAGTTATATTGGCGTAATGAATTTTTATTGCACTGAAGGGAAACTGGGACTGGATAGGGTTGTTTGGAATGAGTTTGGCTGGAATTAGGGGGAAGATATTCTAGTTTTTCCTCTTAACTTATTGTGTGTAGCTGAATGCTCCCAACCGTAGATTTCTTGAGGCGAACAGTATAGAAATACTGCTTTAGAGTCGCGATTAACAGCATAAATATTTAGGAACTCCTTCTGCCTTTTGTTTTTCAGTTTTCTCTCAGATTTTTAACACTTCTCCCAAATAAAATATGATAACAGCAATTGGAACTATAGCTATGGGGTGAGGCATTATAACAGGGGATAAGAGTGTTATGGCCTTTTATTGGTGGACATTAAATAAATTGCTTTTGAGGATATTCTATAATTGTCTTAATCCTCTGCGATAGAGCACTTTTCTTTAGCCTAATGTTTTGTTGATTTCTATATTTTTAGTTTTCTTCTTACCTGGATTTGAGGTGAACATCTAAACCTTCAAAATAAAATTAATTCCATTGCTAATTTTCTGGTCCTCATAGTCTGAGATTTATCGGAGGCAGCTGGGTTTTTGGGGGTGCCTTTGTGTGTTGACTTCTGCCGATTGCCTAGACAAGTCCCTTCAGTTATCTTGGCAAGGTTTTCCAGAAATGGTTTACCATTACCTCTTTCCTAGGGGTAGGAGAGAGAGACTGGCACCAGGTCGCCCAGCTGGCTTTGCACCTAAGGCAGGACTAGAACTCACGCCCTCCCGGTTTCTAGCCGGATGCCTTAAGCATGACCCTAATCTGGCTCTCGTTGATTGGAGCCCAGAGTTCTAATCCAAGAAGGTAAGAATGACTCTGTCTGTTTACTCTGTCCTCTTTCTCCAACAGATCCAGACAGTCAGCTCTGCCCCTTGGGGTACACTCCTGATGAGACGCCTCCTGCCTGCGCTGATGAATTTGATGACTTCGTTGCATACGAGGTGAGCGAGAACATTACCCACCCAGTGGCTCCGGGTCACTTTTGGTTGGCTTAAGTGTGTCTCAATTTGCTACTTTAGAGAATGTGAGAGAGCGCGGATGATGCTTAAGAAGGACCTTATCTCTGATAGCTTCTCAAAGATTTCTGTAGCAAGAGCACTTAGCCCTTAGACTTATGTATTACTTCACAGTGCTTTCCAGCCCTCTCTAAGCGGTTTACAGAGTCAGCCTCTGGCCGACTGGGTCCTCATTTTACCCACCTCAGAAGGAGGGAAGGGTGAGTCAACCTTGAGGCGGTCAGGATTGAACTGCTCACAGTCAGCAGAGTTAGTCTGCAATGCTGCATTCTAACCACTGTGCACGATGGATGGATGGATGGATGGATGGATGGATGGATGGATGGATGGATGGAAGGAAGGAAAGGAAGGAAGGAAGGAAGGAAGGGCAATAGCCCTTAGACTTACATACTGCTTCACAGTGCTTTTACAGCCCACTCTAAGCGGTTTACAGAGTCAGCCTCTTGCCCCCAACAACCTGAGTCCTCATTTTACCGATCACGGAAGGATGGACGGCTGAATCAATCTTGAACCTGGTGAGAATCGAATTGCTGGCAGTGAGCAGACTTAGTCTGCAATGCTGCATTCTAACCACTGCGCACCATGGAAGGAAGGAAGGAAGGAAAACAGCAATAGCCCTTAGACTTATATACCGTTTCACGGTGCTTCACAGCCCTCTCTAAGCGGTTTACAGAGTCAGCCTATTGTCCTCAACAATCTGGGTCCTCATTTCACCCACCTCGGAAGGACGGAAGGCTGAGTCAATGTTGAGTCAGTTAGAGTCGAACTGCTGGCAGTGGGCACAACTTGCTTGCTGTCAAGAATGACCTTGACACCTTCAATACTGCATTCTAACCACTGGGCCACCAGGGCTCATTATTTGGTCTTCCTTGATGCAATTAAGTTCAAGAATTGCTGTTCTTTTTTTCCCACAACCTGATTGGTTCCTTCATTTCTAGTTTTGTCGCAAACTTTGGCCAAGACAAAGATCAGAGATTGCCTTTAGGATTCAGAATAATGCATATTTTATGTATGTTTTACTCTTTTTTTAAAAAAAAAATCTTCTATATTATTTCTTGTTTTTTTTAAGGTACTGTTTGTTGTTGTTCCTTTTATATTTGTTTTATTTGTTTGTAAGACACCCAGAGTCATATATATAAGATGGGCGGTTATGTAACTTTGAATGATCGATCATAATTGATCGATCAATCAATCCTTGGGCCCGGATGCAATTAACAGATTAAACGGGAATGAAAAATACCTGTAAAAATGCGATCCAATATTTTTGAATCACTTAAATAGCCAAACGTGTTGCATAAAGTGACTTAGGAATTGATTATTGAGGAAACTTAAGGATTACGCAGAAAATCAACACGGCAGAGTTTTAATGAGAATACAATATTATGAAAATGGATGGAAAACAGGTTTTTACACTTTGTGTTTTGAGACAAGGCATATCCGGTGAGATCTCCAGGCCAAAATAGCCTGCTCCCTGGTCTTCTAGTGTAGGAGCTGGAATTGTCAGGGATTAAACCTAAGCATACCAGACATTCCTTCACTGAATTATAGCTTCTTTCCTAAATCTTAACCCATCCTGACTGGAAGCAGGTAAAGTTTATAATTACTGGAAATAGTGAGCTGCAAGGCATTCACTGACATGCACAGCCCCGGTGCAATTGCAGTAAATAAATTATAATATTGTAGAGAATGAAGATTATTTTGTCTTTCTGCAAAGTGTTCAGGCAAAGGCATAATTTGAGTGGTCGCTGAGTTTCAAGTTGTAAATTGAGGACTATTTTTTTTTTCTCCTAAACCTCTTCCGTTCTGTACCCTCTGACTTATAGTAGAGACATGCAAAGGGAAAAGTTTGGGCAAGTAACCATAAAATACAAGCACAATCCAAAGCACACTGAAGATGTCTTCTCAAATGGTTGCAACCAAATCACGGAGCTCAAGCCAAACAACATAAAATATAGCCTTTTGACTTGTCTTTTAACCCCGGAGGCCAAGCAACAATGCGACATTGTATGTCTCCCTGGGTGTGGTGAATGCGCAGAACCGGAATAACTTCCTAGAAGGCAGCATGTGGAAGAAGTAAACTGGCTTGCAAAAATAGAAAGGTGTGGAATGATACATTAAATCTGGTGTGCCTACCTGTCTCCAGAGAGCGTTAGCTGTAAAGGGAAGTCTTTTTCTGGCACACATTCATGCTTTCTTTTTGCTCTGCTGAGAAGAACAGGATGTTTCCCTTTTATTGATTGACTAGCTCGATACCCGTGCTTCGCTACGAAACTGTGTGGTTGGGCTTAGTTTTGGGGGGAGGAAAATAAGGGGGGAAATTCTGTCTCTGCCTACCAGTATTGATTGGTATTCATCTGGCTAGCGTCATGTCAGTGTGTGTGAGAGTTGAAGGCTGTTTGGAAACTGAAAGAATATTTACTGTGTGAACAAGGAGACAGCAAGGAGCCTGGGCGTGGCTTAGCTCAACTGTTCTGTACTAAAGCTGCTTGGTGCTGTGAAACAGAAACTCCTCTCCTCTGCTGGTGTTTTGCATTTGAAACAATTCTTTTCAGGTGGGGAGGGGGAGTAGAACTCCTTAGCATCAGAGCGTGTTAATAATAATAATAATAATAATAATAATAATAATAATAATAATAATAATAATATAGAAAATACTCTAAATGCTCTGATGGTCATTTTGAAAAATCCTTTCTTAGTGAGCATCTAAAAGCCAAGAGGAAACTGTGCCGAAATGAGTAAATAAACATTTGAAATTAGAGAACAAGAGGATAAACAATTTTATATGATATGGGATTTATTTTATCAATGGATCGATAAAAAGACATGGCAAAGAAATAGGCTAGTAAGCCTTACAATGAAAGTTAATAGATTTGATATAGAATACAATATAAAATATATAAGCATTGGATGAATGTATAAGATTAGATCAGAATGAAAATTAGAATATCTCATATAAAATGATGGAAAAATAGTCAAATGAATGTTTAATCATTGATATTATATAAGCACAAGCTACATCGATAAGGTGAGAATTTATATAACTGGTGAGTAATGGTAAAAAAAGGATAGCACAAAAGATTGTAACCAACCGACACACTGCATGTATATAATTGAAAGATGTTTTTATGTTTTGTTCGTATGTTTGTTGTAAAAAATAAAAACTTTGTTTTTTTAAAAAAAAATTCTAGGCGCTTTGCGATAAAATTTTCGGATAAAGCAGAAGGCCGCCCCCAAGCCTCCCTTCCCTTCGCCCTCATTAAAACCTTAATCAAATATAATAAAATAATTAACATTAATGAGCCAAAGCTGTAATAGCTAAGCATGTAGGCCGCTACTGGTGCGAAAGCGATGTTTTGGTGGAGAAGATTCCAGAATAGATTTTTTTTTTATAACCGCTGGTGTTTCCGCAGACTTACACAGTTGTAGGTCCATCAAATGTAGTTCTTGGCTGGGATCATTTGTTTCTTTAGTGTTTTAGGAAGAGGGTCTTTTTATAGTTCCTTGAGTTATTCATGGGTGGAGTTCAGCAAAGGAGACGGCTTCGATTCTGCTCTGTTTAGGTTTTTTTTTTTCCCCTTGGCTACTTCAATTAAGACCATTGAAACTTGTTCTTTGAGAAGTGAAACTCTGAAGAAAACAAGGCATTAGTGAGGATTTTAAAAGCTGAAATTATTAGGGGGCTAGGAAGCCATGTTGGAACAGGTTCCCCCAGTGGAAAATAAAATAAAATAAAACTGAACGCAATCTAATAGGTGGTAATAGGGGAAAAGGAAGAAATGGTTTTTGAAGAGTTAAAGAAAAACAACAGCTAAATTTTCTAAGTTGGCAATCCTGCCCTCTTGCGGTTGTCCAAAGTAGCTGATCTCAGTTATCACCCAGAAACCGTGCAAGGAAAGAAAATGGGAATAAATTCAGCAACCATCCCAGCAACACCAATGTGCCAAATAGAATTGTACAATGGCCTGTCTTTAATATCTGGAAATGCCTGAACCAAGAGCTGAAAAACAAAACAAAACAAACAACGGAGGGAATATCAGAGTTGAGGGGATGGAAGTTGTTTAAGGGAAGGTTGGGTTTATTTATAAGCGTTGGCAGGAAATAATGTTCTTTGAGACAGGAACAATAAGGGCTCCTGCAGCAGAGATGGTATTCAGCTGGTTCTGACCAGTTCTGGAGAACCGGTAGCGGAGATTTTGAGTAATTTTGGAGAACCGGGCAATGTGACCTCTGACTGGCCCCGCCCCCATCTATTCTCCGCCTCCCAAGTCCCAGCTGATTGGCTGGGTCTTCTTTGGTTGCCCTGCTCAGGAGAATGGAATTGGAAAGCAGGTTAGTAGGGGGGGATTTTGCAGTATCCTTCCCCTGGAGTGGGGTGGGAATGGAGATTTTACAGTATCCTTCCCCATGCCCACCATGCCACGCCCACCAAGCCACGCCCACAGAACTGGTAGTAAAAAAATTTGAATCCCGCCACTGTCCTGCAGCGTCTTGAAAAGGGACTCATTTATGAATCACAGAAGAGTTTATGGATTACACCTGATCAGCTGCAGAGGATTTAATTGGGGAGACAAGAATCCATAATCTGTGGATTGTGTGCCTCAAAAAAATTTTTTAGGAGGTAAGAAATGTATTAAACTTTTAAGTTATCCACCAGCTCTTCACTAGATCCTGTATATTGAATTGGTACACCCAGCATTGGTCACAATTAGCAAGAGGCACCTCCTCCGTTGTAATTAATGTTTAATCCATTCGTATTATTTAATAGCTGTGAGTTATGGCAGCTAAACGAGAGAGCCTCCATTGATAAGAGCAGTCTGGCTGTGAGTGGCAGGTGGCTGTCCGCAGGCCTTATTCGTGAGCTCCCAGGGAAGAACCAAGCTTGTTCCTGCTACCAGATGGACAGGACGGGTCTGGATGAATCCAGC